TGAGAGATCTCATCTTTGAGCCATGAGCAACAGGAAAAAAGCAAGCTGCTTCTTCCTCTTAATGGACCCTTGTTTGGTTTACGTTTCAGCTCCATTTTTCTTATTAGATGTGCAGCCTTCCACTGTTGCTGTGAAAAAGTATTTTTAGGCCTCGATGTTAAAGCTGGCAGACAGAGCTGTAAGGCTTTTAAGCAGGTGTAGATCAGGTCTGTGTAACGTTTAACGCCCAGCAGGCTGTAATCATCACAGCTCCAGCTGACTGTGGATAAGAGCCTAATGAGTAGTTGCAAAAGCTTGTTTAAAATATTTCAAATCAAATTAAGTTATTTGTCTGAGCTGCAAGTGCACAACTCGATATCGTTTTCAGTTGCAAGGGTTCATTCTTAATAAAAGAGGCTGGTACATCATCAGACTATAAATCGTAAATTAGCAAAAAAATAATAATTTTCAGTTCACATTTGAATCTACAACTCCCTACCAGTGTCATGAGAGACGCTATCTTAAACACCGAGATAAATTTTAATGTTGGATGAAATTTTGGAAGTGACAGTTCTAATAGGACAACTTATAATCTTCTAGATTTCATTAGAAATCTTATTCTCATCTATGTACAATTTATGTTTCTTTTTAAAAGGAACCCCGGCTATTAAGATATGTTTGCTTAAAATATGTACTGTGCTTTCAGTAACACATATGTGGTATTAAAATACGCCAAATGTTTTCCTTTTAAGCACATTTTATAAAAAAAACGATTTACCAGTAGGCCGCCATTGTTATTTACTTCTCAACTTACTTACTTACTAACTTTTTGTTACTTACTTCTCTGGGTAGTGACGTCATACGGTTGCACCGCATCCAGTTCACAGTTAACAGTACACTGGAAATGGTTTCTGTTCAACCTTTCTGTCATGGTCCTGGGTCAGTGACCCAGTGTTTTTAGTTGTTGTACTTTTACTTTTGATAGTTTTATGTATTATGACTGTTGTGTTTTGGTTTCCCAGGGTTTAGTTGTGTTCCCTCTGTTTGGTGTCATCCCTGCCGGTGTATCCCCTTTTGTGTAGTAAGGTCTCTGTGTTTAGTTCGCGTTTCTTAGTCTGTGTCTTTGCGTGTATGTGTTCCTGTTTTACTTTGAAGGTCCCTATCTGATGTCAGTGCGTTCTGTTTACGTTCCCCTGCCTCGTCAGCTGTGATGTCTTCCAGGTGTGTTCCCCTCCTGTTTCCCATCCCCTGATTGCTGGTGTGTGCATTTATAGTGTGTGTTACCTCATCCTCGTGGCTGTTTCGTCTGCCTCTCTCCGTCCGTCATTCTGTGTATTTCCCTGTGCCTCCCTGCATCTCTGTTTCTGGTTAGTTTCTGTTAGTTTTTCCCAGTTTAGGTCTTCTTAGTTTCATGTTCACCCCCGCCATCTCTGTTGTATCCACATTTGGTTAATAAACTCACTTGCACCAGAGCTGTCGCATCTTGGGTCCTAAATAATCCACACACGGCTTGCCCCGGCAACCTGTGACACTTTCCAGTTTGAACCAGAGCAAACCGAGAGAGAATGCAAATAGTCTACCAGTACCTAGTTTAGATGAAGATGAAAACAATCCGTTGCACGAGGACGAGAGAGTGAGGGCAACCAACTGGTGTCTATGTGGCTACTGCTTGCCAATGGCAACGGCGACTGAGAACATATGTTGTAAAGAACCAAAACTTTTTTAAGCGGTATGTCTTAATCCACATGTTCTTTGGGCAGCCCTTGTTAGCCTCCATGACCGGTATCCGGTCTTTAAGTGATAACGTGATGAATCCTGCCTCTGGGCCCAAAGTAGTCTGCATTTAATGAGGCTGTTGTGTTTTTAATATGTTTAATGCTTTGTATCTTGTTCGATTTAATCTCAACAAGTCCCTAATAACGGTCAGTGATCAATGTCGACTACTCACGGTTTTTATTACCGTTAATCATTTTAAAGCTCAGTTTTTAAACCCTTAAGATGTAACTACAGCCCAGCCCACGCAGAAGTATATTAATAACTAACCTCGTATTGTGGATGGATTATCTCGGTGGTTCTCCTGACTGACGTTTGGTCTGTTTACAGCATGCTGCCATGCGATTGCTAGTGATGTGCGATACCACTTATTTCCTTTCCGATCTGATACCAAGTAAAATTCAGGGTGGTATTGACGATACTGATACCCTGTACAAAAACGTATTTAATTTATTGTATCTCAAATTATAGCGTCATAATGATTACAGGACATCAGATTACTTATTATTATCACTTAATAATGCAGAGTTCATCATATAGAAATAAAAAAACTGAAGTTTTGCGCTATTTGAACACCTTGCCTGCCAGCAGCACTAAAGGACTCCGTGAGAGACATCTGTCTCGCCCTAGCAGCGCCTGTCCACTCCTCTTCAGTTCGCCTCAACATACGCTCGTCATATTCTGTGATATGATTTACTCTGAGGTGTTTGAC